AAAAATAATATCGGAACTGAAATATTATTATACTGATAAAAAGTTGGGATATTACATTTTTGACCTCTCCTCAGCAACAGGAGTATCCTCGGCGAAGGTATTTCTCAACTTCCTCTTCTTCTTCTTCGGTTGGGAAGTCCCCGGAGACTTAGGAGGAGGTTGCTGTTCTTCGGGCGCCCCGTATGTGCTTGTTCCAGTGGCACCTGCACCAAAGGCAACCCGGTATCCTTAATGTCTCTTTCTGGCTCAGCCTGATTGATCGCCTCGGTATTGATAACTTGAGTGGCATCTATGTTTTCACCTTTCTTTGGACGGTCAGGGCTCGCAAAGTTAACGACCGGAGTCGCACTACCACCAACTTCAGGAGTTTGACGTCCTTGTAATACCCCGTTTTATTGTGGATTATTTGGGAGTAAGTATTGATTATTGCTATTATTAAATTGTCTTTACTATTATTATTATCATTGTTATTATTATTATTATTATTATTGCTATTAACTGTCAAATTGCTATTATTTATATGTTATTAGTAATATTGCTATTATTAATATTAATTGTCTAAATATTATTAATTGTCAAATTGTAATTATTTGTCTAAATGCATATTTTTACTATTATTATTATTATTATTATTTTAAAATATGATGTGTATTATAAATAAAGATAATCCGGATTAATTTATTACTCGCCGTCGATCGAACATCTCGAGCATTCTTATATCGCGTATATTTTATTTCGGCCCGAAGCGACTTAATTCATCGGCCTTTTTGCCATTCTCTTCTAGCCAATGAAATTAATTTCGCGGACCAACTCCTTATTGAATTTTTGGCCCAAATGGAGATGATATGCCTTAGCCCAATTAGGAGATGATTTATTTTGGCCCATGAGATGTTGAGCTCAAGTCCAGCGAATTTCCTCTTCTTCAGATCGCTTCTTCGACCAATTCGTCCGTTTCAATTTCAGGTAGCGATCTTGTGGGAGATTCTCATGGCACGATCACGCAATAATCGCTCCTCACCCCTTTCAATCTGATCGCTCCTCATCCTTTACTTAAACAGGTGAGAACCTCGATCAGTACTCCCAAATCTCTCATCTCCCTCAGCAAATTTTCTGCTCGTTTCTTTTTTTTTCCCGCATCATCGTCGATCATCATCAACCCATCGCCACCATCTTCGATTGCGACTTCCCAGGCCAGCATCCCGCGAGGACCAACGATCCACAGCCGTGCTCCTCCATCTGTTGTTGCTCCTTCTCGAGAGCCCCGTTCGAGCACCGCGTCCTCCCCGTTCGTCCGGACCTCCGGCAGTCGTTTCGCTGGCCGTTATTGACGTCAGCATCGTCTTCCACTCACGAGCAGACACCCCGGGTCCTGTTCGTTGGAGTTACTGTCCGAGTCCCAAAAGCCGTTTGTCCGACCCGTTGTCGGGCCCGTTTCCCGTTCAATCACTCGTACGTTCCCGAAGATGGGTAACTTATTCAAATCCTCTCTTTATTGCGATCGTTTTCATATATCGCATGTTATATATATATATATTGTGTTCGGTCTACCGAAAGTTGATTTGAATTCGGATTTCTTTTGATTCGTTTAATTATTCGTATGCTCGTGAATTTACGTGGATTATCGGAACTCTCGTTTATCGTATAAATCGAGTCTTATTTGCTGTAGCTAGTCTCGTCGCCACTGTGTGAAAGTTTTGAGTGATTCGGAGACTCGATATTATTGTTTCGAATTGTCGTTATGTCGTTCGTTAGTTTTTAAAACCGTGTATTGTTGTTTCATTTTTTCGAACCAATAAAACTTGTTGTTATAAGATTTCAAAACTCAAAAAATTTTGTTGCGTTGCTGTGACTATATCGTGTTATTTCGGAGTCCCGTTTTGTCGTTTCGGAGTCCCATTGTAATTTTTTTTGGGGTTGTCTTGTTCGTTGTTTTCGAACTGTTAGGTGTCGATTCCTATTCCGAGCAAACCCCATTTTCGTAATGTTTTCGAACTCTGGAAAAAACTATTTTATTTTGAAAAAAAATTTCTGTGAATTTAGCTGTTGAAACCTGTAGCTGAAATTCTGTCCAATCTGCTTAGTCGGCCTTGCATATTTCGCAGCTTTTGTTTCTGTTCAGTAGCAGGTTTTGTTCTAAACTTCAATTTATAAAGTTGCAATTTAGTCGCAAGCAGCTCGTGTAGCCCAGTGGTGTCTGCCTACTACTCCTCGCACGTGGTCGCGAGTTCGAAACTCCCTCCCTGCAACATTACATTTTTTTTGCCCATTTTAGCTGTAGTCTGGCGCGCGGGCCGCATGGCCCGAAGCCAGCCCGCGCGGC